ACAGTCAATAGTATCAGTCTCCATCTGGTCAAACCAATTTTAAAAATTCTAATGGTTTAATATGATTACAACAAAATTAAGTTACAACTATCAAAATTTGGGATTTTATTAAGTTGAACAAATTAACATTGGTAAACTCCATAAATCCTACTCAACACCATTGACAAATGAGAACTTGGCTAAATTAAACCCTTAAAAAGAAATAAAATAAGCATTATGACCCCAAAGAGAATTTTGAACAAGGTATTAAGATATTTTTACAAAATTAAAAAATGTCCAAAAATATTTTTATAAAAATGACCACTTGAAATGAAGCATGTCATAGCATATTATCATGCAATGTTCACAAGACTAAGCAAAGATGCCTCTTCCAAACACTCTAATTTTTTAAACAGATAAAATTATTTTGATCATCATCTTAGTTATTTTAAGATAAAGTCCTAATTATTTTTTCTACTTTTCATGGTGAATTTTTATTTCTTCTTCTAAGCAGATCTTAAGGCAGTAGCATCTTTCCTGTCAGTTTACCTGAGATCACAAAAACTTCCTACAGTCAGTATTTCCTAACCCATTTCAGCTTCATAAAGGCAGAGAGAAGTTGATCTTCAGACAATCAACACCCTGAAATAAAATTTACTTTAGCTAAATACCTGTGTGTGGTGAATAAGCTTAGGAATTCCCTGAGCTTGCAATGATGGGTTAACAAGGCATAAAGAATTAGAAAGCCATAGGATGCTCACACCCAAGTTTGGGTAAAGATTAGGGAAATAGGTATAGATAGGGCAGGGAAAGGCCCCAGTATAGGATAAAGGTATATGAGGTAAACCATATTAGGTATTCAGGGCAGAAACGCCCCCCAACTTAGCACAACAACAGAAAGCTGCTTTCAAAAAAAAGGAAGGAAGGACCAAGTTAGGTAAACAGGTAAATAGGGCTATAGACAGCTGCAGGGCCAAGTAGCCCAGTGCAGGGGGAAGTTGCCCAGAGTGGAGTTGATTAGCAAAAGAAAGGTGCCATGTTGACCCTGAGGTGTCTTGCTCTGTCTTTCTTGTCCCCTAGACCAGTTTAGGTAAACACAGTTGGTGCCTCATGTCTGCTGTAAACAACCTTCCACTCACCGCCAGGATTTTGTTTTAACCCAGACCCCTAACACTGCATATCTTCAAAAACCCCTTTCCCTCACATCCATGAGTTAATGTTCACAGTTTCATTGTCTCTTTGTGCCCAACCATCACCATGTTTATAAGCCTTCTGATCCTAATTAAAATGGTGCAAGGACCTCTAATAGGGGCTCTTGTCTTCTCCAGAACATTAGCCATCTCTTGCATTTTAATCCCGCGTCCCACTTTCTTGCTGGACAAGAAAAAACTCCAGACCCAGAGTCTACAACAACTGTGTACCAAGAATCTAACACCATTAACCAGTCATTCCTTCAGTGCTTAGCTCCCTCCAAGGGATTAAAGTTTCAGATGAGGTTGAAGGTCCGATGTACCACTTAAATGACTACAAAATGACATTTAATAGCAAATTCCAAAATATTTTTCTACATCTCCTTGAAAATTTAAGACAATGTGAGTTTCACCAGCATGGCAGACCAGAAACCAGTTTCCAACACTTAAAACCTGATCAAGTGTTGGGGCACCTGGGTGGCTCAGACAGTTAAGCATCTCATCTTATTTTCAGCTCAGGTCATGATCTCATGGTTCCTGAGTTCAAGCCCCACATGGGGCTCTGTGTTGACAGTCTGAGCCTGCTGGGATTCTCTTTCTCTCCCTCTGCGCCCTTCCCCATCCTCTCGCTCTCTCTCAAAAATAAAGTTAAAAAAAAAATTTAAAACACAAACAAACAAAAACTGACCAAATATTACTTTTGCCAAACAAAATGCCCCAGCTTAACGTCAGCCCCATTTCCTCTGAAAGTTTGTCCTTGTAGAGTGAATCATGGTAACATTGCAAATGACCACCTTAACTAGTCTCTCAGTTGAAAAAAATCCTAACACCTCATCAACCACAATTTTACTTTGCCACTGGGTGATTCCCAAGTCTTCCTCTCTTCAGATGGACTGAAATTGGAAGTTGATAAACCCTCACATAGGAAAAAAAGGACCACTGTACTACATCTCAGCCTAGACAAAATAGGGTTTTAAACATTTACAATACATGCATTCAATAACTACTGAATCACATAATTCCAAAACAATAATTGATTTATTTTTCTATGACCTTGAAGTCATTTTAGATTTATTTTCTGGTGAATAAAACCTGCCTGTTCAGGGAAGGAAATAAGCAAATTCTTTGGCAACTCTTCTGAGATTTTAGAAATGTTTAAAAGCCTTATTTAAAAAAAAAAAAAAAAAAGATATAATTTAATCTTCTAGCAAAGTAATTCAGATAAAAGTAAAACACACATACCATTCTAGACTGGTATGACCTGCCTATAGTAACATCTTTCCAGTTACATACATATGGATCTATATCATCATGTGTACTCATACTTCTATCTCCAGACACTGCATGCATTGTTTTTTTTTCTACTTACTCATGTATAACTTATGTCCCCAGATATTTAGTCTCAAATTTAAGTTTTTATCTTATTCATTTTGCAACTAGAATGATATTTTCTACACAACTACTCATTTGGGGAATATTTGAATGAATCTGCCAAAGATTAAGTCATAGGAAAACTGAAATGGCCTTTTGGCCATTTGGGAAAAAGTACTATCAGAAAGAAATGGGAGGAAGCCTTTATTGAATCATTTACAGGACAATTCAAAAACCCAGAAAAATTCATTAGCCTCTCAATCCAAGAACACAGCATTCTTTATTTTACCTTTCCAGTGATTTGGTCCATCCTAAGGATACAGACTCTAGATATGTTCTATTGACATTTTACTATTAAGTTTAATAATAACTTTCATATCCCTACACTGAGTCTACCTATTCACTGAGAAAATAATGGGTGAACAAACATTAATCATGCAGTAATAACAACTCTCCAATTTAAACATTTTCCAATGTTTATGGTATACAGATTTATAATAATACTATACTCAAACTAGTTCTAGGAGACATTTACTCTCTAATTAGAGGACTATCCATCTTTTTCCTTGGTTTGATACAGAACACCAGGGAATCAAAAATAAATAAATAAATAAAATTCTAGCACTTACTGGGTTACATAAAATAGAACTCAACAGAAATAAACAGAAAACTAAATTCAAATATTTATGGAAAAATACAAAAAACCAGGTTGACGTGCAATGAAAGAGAACAGTTAAAAACTGTGTGTGTGTGTGTGTGTATGTCCACGCACACACGTGTGTTTGATGGTGAGAGGCAGAGGAAAAAGGTAGAAAGAAAATTCAGAGCTAAGGTAGATTCCCGCCTGAGTCCCAGCCACAACTACTGCTGCTAAGAGAAATCAGCTTGGAGGAAACATGTTTTTGTGATAGATATGATACAGCACACGTAAGATGATAACGAAGTACTCAAACTGAAGTACCTAATAGAATGCTGAAAAATGTATGATTCAAACTCAGCATTCAGATTAGAGAGCAGTGGAAGTGAACTTTGAGTCATCTAATCTAAATGGGAAAGAAGAGGAGCTAAGCTATTAAAGTTTTTTAATTTATTTATTAAATGAAACACTACACGCCTCCCAAAGAGATACCAACTTCAGTTTGCATTTATGTATTCATTCATTCTTCTTAATCCTTACAATGATTTGAGAAGTAGGGTTATTAGCCTCATTTCTAAAATGAGGAAACCAAATGTCAGGAAACTTAACCAAGGTGACCAAGGAACTGAGAAATTCCGAGTTTAAAGCCGTTGCTCCCTTCATAATGCTGTATACACTTTAGAGTATTATCTGGGGACATGGAGAGAAGGAGATTTTCTAAGTAACTTAACACAAAGGGAGGAATAGAGGGCTATACATAGGACTTTTAACCTAACTGTACCCTACAGAGCCTTAGAGCCGTCCAGCATTAAGTAAATTTCATGTTTCCCACAACACCCCCAATGAAAGTCACTGATACTTCTGTTAAAATCAGTCGCTTGTGGAACTTGATTTTCCATAATCAGCAGGATCCATGGAACTTACCATTAGAATATATGCCCACATACAATAGGACAGTAAAACCATTCTTCCCCAGTTGCTAATTTGGATGTATTTGCCATGCTAGAGTTAAATTCATTTGTATTACAAATTTTCTTTTTGTATTAATGATCTTACCTACCATGAACTAAATTCTAAATTCCCACACTATTGGGATGGGCCCAAGATTAGAAATTTGGCAATTGTTAAGCAAATGATTGGAGAATGTCACATTTAGAACCCCTTCCCACAGTAAAATGTCACAGACTACACTCTACTCAGCTAGTCTCTGATTTTATTCCTTCCTGGTTGTGCTGAGATCTCCCTCTTTTGTACAGTTTAATAGACCAATCAAAAAAACGCTGTATTAAACATATACTTTTAGTCTTTCACAGGAAAGACCTTCCCAAAATTTTCATGGGCTATCTCCAAGGAATTCTCTTTCATCTGTTTCTCCTTCTACTTTGCTGTCCAAGTGACAGAGAAGATGATACAACCTAAGAGACAATTTACTTCCACATGCTATTTTCCCTCTTTCTTTTTTAACCTCGGTATTTTTTCTCCAATGGTGTTTTGCTAACATGCTAATAAGCTCTTTCATATTCTCCAAACAGCTAGTGAATTCAGCAGTATACTTTGCAATTTTAATGAAGAAAAAGAAATAAAACTGGTTGCTAGATTCATTTTTTTCCCTAAACTTGTCAATTCAAACAAATAACTATAGTAATAAGGGAACAAAGTCATAGAAGTCATAACAAGAGAGAAAGCGCAGGAATCCGTAAAAGGAGTTTCTTCTGGGCTTGGGTAGATTTCCTCAATTGGATGAAATTTTGTTAAAAAGAAAAACTGAATCCCAAGGAAGGAAGCCTAAGGATGAGGAGTTAAATCTGAATTAAATCACTTACTGAAATAACAACAACAGGATATAAAATGGAAAGATTACTCTCTTCCAGCATATTCACTAACTTCCGGATTTCCTCAAAATCAGAGGTCATAACCTGAAAGACCAGAAAATAAAAGGAAGTGAAAAGAAGTTCTTAAATGATTTAAAATTTAATTCAAGAATTAAAGTTAATGAAGGAAAAAATATGGAGCTTTTACATACACATCCAAAATCTTTATCAAGCTTAATTTTCACTTTTTGAACAACTTTCAAGGATACCCATACGGTCACATCTATTAAAATTTGAATTCTTCATTAATTCAAACCTGCGTCATCTTATCTGCTTCATACCAAATAACTGAAAATGGCATCTACAGAAATATCACCTTCTTCTCATTATGGGAATTAACTTGTGAGAAAATATTTTTTTTTATTTCAAAAATTAAAAAAAAAAAAACAACTTCCAAATACTTACTGAATAACACAGCTCATCACAAAAACTTAAATTCAAACAATGAAAAATCAAGAAATAATTATCTTGCACATTACATTTACAAAGATCATCAAAGGCTTTGAACCATTTAAGGTCACTACTTACATTCACGCAAACGTAACTGTAGCACTGCTCTGACATGATTTGATCAAGATCTCTGCCAGTGTGACATGGAAGTCGAGACATGACTTTTACATGCTAGGAGAATAAATAATTAAGAAAGAGCAGTTTATAAACTAGATAGAAAGACCAAATCAGAACCTAAATTAATGTTACAAATGAGCATAAAATTTCAATAGACACAAAAAGCCAAAGACCATAAAAAGTCAAAATAATTCAGGCTAAAGTTTATGAAGCTTCCAAGAAAAAGACATCTGAACTACTCCATGACTGATGAATATTATTTTGGTGAACAGAGATGCAGATAAAGGAAATAGTTTCAAATAAGTAAAGGTACAGGATATATGCAGGGACAGGCAGTACCTGTTTTTTTCTTATACAAAGGATGTATTTCAGAAAATTGTGGATTATAATCAAATGGTTGGTTAGATGGGAGTTGTTGGATGATTCTGCAAACATGTTAAATTCTACAGTTAGACAGATTCTGCCAAACCTGGAATGACTAGAAGCAGGAAAAGCATTAAGAAATTATTAGTGAGGGAGGAGTCAACATGGTGGACACAGCACTATCAATAGCCACAGTATGGAAAGAGCCCAAATGTCCATCAATTGATAAATGGATAAAAAAGCTGAAACACATACATACGTATACACAATGCAATACTACTTGGCAATGAGAAAGAATGAAATCTTGCCATTTGCAGCAACATGGATGGAATTGGACGGTATTATGCTAAGTGAAGTAAGTCAGTCAGAGAAAGACAGATATTGTATGTTTTCACTGATAAGAATTTGTGAAACTTAACAGAAGACCATGGGGGAAAAAATAGTTTTAAACAAAACAAACCATAAGAGACTCTTAAATACAGAGAACAAACTGAGGGTTGATGGGGTGGGGGAGAGGGGAAATGGGTGACAGGCAATGAGGAGGACACTCGTTGGGATGAGCACTGGGTGTTGTATATAAGCAATGAATCATGGCAATCTATCCTGAAGCCAAGAGCACCCTGTATACACTGTATGTTAGGTAACTTGACAATAAATTATATTTAAAAAATTATTATAATAATCTGAGAGAGAAATAAGACTTGAACTAGGACAATGATAATAAAACAAGAGATGAAGAGATTATTACTAGAGGTGGTCCCAGACTAGATTTAGAATAGCACATATAATACAAAAATTCTCCTAATGAGACTTTTATTCCATAAACTCAATATTCTAATTAACTTCCATTGTTTCCCTCTAATAGCAATAAGAACAAAAACTTAATTATTAAACAGGAGGTCTTTTATGTATGTTAATTCCCCAGAAAGCCACATTTCGATGGTTAATACTGGCATTACATTTACAATGCTTTACAATTTACGATTCTAAAACAGTAGGCCAGTCCCTTAGTAAAACATTAAACTGTGTACTTCCAAGAACATTACATAGTAAGTAGGATTCATCTTAGTTCTATGTAATTTTGACAGAATATTAGAGAAGGGGAAGTAAGTGTTTTGAAGTCTTAGCACTGCTACGAATTCATTGGCTTGCAAATTTCAAGACTTTTTTCATTTCAAAATTCTTATTGAGTACCAAGTTCAAGACAACATTAAAAAATTTAACAAAATAGTTCCATTTGCACCCGCCATATACTGATAGTTAAACAGAGAAGAAATTATTGGCTTTCACTGTGCAACATTAAGTTTGTTCAAGGAATCACATCTTCTAGATATTACAAGGAGATAAGTTTCCAGGGATGTCTTATATACCCAAACATTTTCAAAGACATTAATAGCTAACGCACTCCAGATGGACTTTTCAAAGATGTCGGCATAACAGGCAGATTTGCAAAGATAGGGATGTCTCTTCCTGGAGTATATTTGTGCATATTCCAAAAAATAAAGGTAGCCTCCTCTCTCTCCCTGGGGCAGATCCACTTGACATTCCAGAGGAATAAAGACAACGTCTCTTTTTTTTGCCCATGGTCCCTGAACAAATTAAGTGCTTCCCAACATCAACATCTTTAATTTACCTTAACTAGAACAGCACCTAGTGGTAACAGCATTCCCCTGTAGGAATTGCAATGTAGACCATCAGTGCAACGCTATATTCTCCTTAATGCTACTGCTGTTAACAAATAGTCTTTCATCTGACCACAGAGTTAAGGTCTTATGCCAGTATTTAAGATATTAGTGTGAACAGGGGCGCCTGGGTGGCTCAGTCAGTTAAGCATCCGACTTCGGCTCAGGTCATGATGTCACGGTCCATGAGTTCGAGACCCACATTGGGCTCTGTGCTGACAGCTCAGAGCCTGGAGCCTGTTTCGGATTCTGTGTCTCCCTCTCTCTCTGACCCTCCCCTGTTCATGCTCTGCCTCTGTCTCAAAAATAAATAAACGTTAAAAAAAATTTTTAAAAAAAGGTATTAGTGTGAATGTCTGCATACAAGTACTATAAAATTCCTTAGATCCTGCCAAGTTTGACTTAACAGATATGTAATAAAACAATCACATCATGAGATAGTAACTTCAACAAATGTGAAATGTGAATTTTACAAAATGATTTCATTTAAAATTTTATTTTGCATATACATAAATGAGGTCTAGGATGAGAACATGAGAGACTGATTTAACTTCTGAAGTACTGAAATGGATAAAATTCTTAAGGAAAGGATATGGGGTCCTTGTGCACAGAAACAAGAATGTTCTTCCCACTAGCAAATACTTGATATATAGGTATTTTAAATTTAAAACAGTTTCAAGACAGGGAGGGGGACAAAACATAAGAGACTCTTAAATATGAAGAACAAACAGGATTACTGAAAGGGTTGTGGGAGGGGGGGATGGGCTAAATGGGTAAGTGGCATTAAGGAAATCTACCCCTGAAATCATTGGGGCACTATATGCTACCTAACTCTGATATAAATTAAAAAAAAAAAATAGTTTAAAAAAAGTCTTGTTTCAAGAAAAATGGTGTATTGTTCTTAAACCAACTACTTGAAAAAGGTAAAAAAAAAAAAAAAAAGATCCAAAAATACCACTACCTAGTAACAATTACCCCGAACATTAGCTAAACATCATTCCAACAATACTCTATTAACTCTATTAATATATGCAGTAAGATTGTAGGACAAAAGGATGAAGAAACAAAAGCAATATGGTATTCAAATCAGATAACATGGAGGTCTTTTTTTAGCTAGTGAGGAAAGAAAATTCAGTAGAGTGAAACTGAAGCAAATGCTGCTAAATCTCAGGTAATTTTTCACTTTCAGAGCCCTAAACTTCTAAACGTTAGGAAGAGGTAGTATGGATAGGATTAAAATACTGGATTTTTAAAGGCAATGCATTTTATTTGTCAGCATTAGCTGTCCTCCTTCTATGAAAGAAATAGCACATTTTAGCTTCCACCTAGAGCCTAGTTCTGGTAATCATGTGATTTTTACCCATTTAATAAGATTAAATTCACATCCTATTCTAACACCATAAAACCCACAATCTATACTTATCTACACTCAAAAGCATTGACTTTTTAAATTTTGTTTATTATTTATTTATTTTTGAGACACACAGTGCAAGTGGGGGAGGGGCAGAGAGGGAGACACAGAATCTGAAGCAGGCTCCGGGCTGGCAGCACAGAGCCCGACAGTGGGGCTCGAACCCACAAACCATGAGATCATGACCTGAGCCAAAGTCAGAGGCCCAACTGAGTGAGCCACTCAGGTGCCCCCCAAATCATTGACCTTTTAAACAAAATTTCTCCATTTTTAAGCTCTTCATTTTAATTCCCTTCTTTATTTGATAAACTCTATCTGCAAGTAGTTTCTTTAGTTGGTGTTCCTTTTTTTTTTTTTTTTTTTTTTTTTTTTTTTTTTTTTTTTTTTTTTTTTTTTTTTTTTACAAAAGCCTCAACATCTTTATGTTCCTTGAGTTTTGCTTTTACATTCAAAGAACCTATTACCCGGGAATCAAAGTTGGGTTCGCTCTTCTCTCACAGATTTGTAGTCATTGTTCCACCATCTCCAAGAATTATATACTTATCCTAAAGCTTATAATCCATCTGTCAGTCACTTACTCTCCATTCATTATGTCACCGGGTAGATTCAACATCAGTAGTTCTATTATGAAATACAGTAGACATTCTATTTGGTTTTCCTCCTCGATTTTAACTGAAAATTTGGCTGGTGGTCCCATTCTTGGATTCTATATGCATCCCCTCTGAAGTTCACAGACACTGTTTCTTTTTATTTGGATAGTGGATATTGTGGAGACGCAAGAGGTCAGGCAGAGTATCCTTTTTTCCTTTAACTTTTGATTTTATTTTCTTACACCTAGGTCCCTATGTGAAGAATTCTTTATGAGGAAATTCAAAATCCTAATCAGAATCAACATGTGTTTAATTGTCAATTTTTATACCTCAGTTTTTCCCAAGTATGCCTGTTAGGTCTTACAGCATCAGTTAGTCATTTCAAGAAAATTCTCTTCAAGCTTCCCCAAGAAGCATTATCCTATGCTGAATGCCTTTATCATCATTCACATCTATTCTCTTTTAGTTATCTTTTACTTAGAACACACTCTAATTATCTCAAGTTTCCCACTATTATAATAACCTGACATCAGCTGTAGTCTATTTTTAATCCATTATTTTTGTTTTAATATTGATTCTTTGAGAGAGAGAGAGAGAGAGAGACACACACAGAGCATGAGCGGGGGAGGGGCAAAAAGAGAGGGAGACACAGAAACTGAAGCAGGGTCTAGTCTCTGACGTGTTAGTACAGAGACCCACACAGGGCTCAACCCCATGGACCCCAAGATCATGACCTGAGGCAAAGTTGGACTGCCAACCAACTGAGCCACTCAGGTGCCACTCTGATCTGTTAAGCAGTTCTAAAACAGTGCTGCTTTAGTCTGAATTTTGTTTCCTCTGATAGTTAATAACTGTATTCATCTTTTGGCATGCCATCTTTGAAGTTTGTCTTTAACCTTTGTGAATTCATTTTTTTCATCTTTTTATGTTTATTTATTTTGAGACAGAATTCAAGTGGCATAGGGGCAGAGAGAGACGGGAAAGAGAGAATGCTGACAGGGTTCCACA